TTGGCTATTCAGCTATTAATATGCTCTGACCAAGATTTCTTGATACCCACAAATTTTAAAACTTATTCTTTGTTGTATTTTAAACTACTGTAACATTTCTTTATGTAGCTACTTTTCACATTGATTGATTGATTGATTGATTGATTGATTGATTGATTGATGTGAGCATCCATGGGACACATTGAGAGTTAAGAGGACAACTTGCAGGAGTCAGTTCTCTCCAACTATCAGTGAGGGTCCTGGGGATCAAACTCAGGTGATCAGACTTAGTAGCAAGCTCTTGCACAGAGACATCTCACCAGCCCTATGACATTTCTTAATTGATCCATATTTTAAAACGCACAGTTCATAATCTCTCATTATTATATCATTCATTTGGTAATAACTCACCATACTTAAAGTGTCAGATTGCTATTATTTTATCCAGCCATTGTTATTATTTTTAATTGACCATCACCTCTACACCGCTAGGTTACTCACATAGACAGTCTACCACATCTGAAGAGAGAGAGAGAAAAGCATATGATCAAGCAAATCCTCCATGGACCAGTTGTGACCTTTGCAGTAGTACTAAGGTTTTACATTACCAAACAACTCTAGATTCTAATGCACAGGCCCCAGTCTTTGACAGCAGGAGCAGAAAACAGAAGCTGTAACTAGAACAAAACCAGAGCAAGGGCAACAAACTTCCCCTCTGTGACATGTCCCTTGGTAACTGCTATAATGTGAATATATTCCCTAAATTCATATTTTGGGGTCTCACCCTTTTAGTTCATGAGAGTGGAAATTGCATGGAAACTCATACCTCCATAAAGAGAGTTTATTGGCCTTTTCTCACCCTTACCTATGCTGAAGGGGAGAGAATGCACTGGAGTGACCTTTATGTGACGGCAAGTCTCCCAACAGCTTAGACCAGCCACACCCAAAACAGTGAACAATAAAGTTGTATTGTTTGTAAGCTATGCAGCTCATCTGTATTGTCATAGAAACTCAAACAAATTAAAGATGGCACTGGAGGAAGATGTGCTCCTCTATACTGATAAAAACTTTACAGGATACTTTAAATGATCTCTCTTTTGTTGTTTTACTTCTGATGATTGTAAATAGAAAATATCATTCTGTTAGAGTAAATATATAAGCCTATTCTAATACTAAAAAATTGTCCACTGGTCCACATCTATTTCAAAATTCATGGAAGCTTAGGAAGATGGGCAGAATGTATCCATACTGTCTTTCATGTATGAATATGTGTATGCCTATAATCTTACATGTGTTCATAGGAAGCCTACAAATGATCATAAAGCCTTGTTCAACATCAAAATAAAACTCTGTACAGATCATGTAGTGGAAATTCCTTCTCAAAAACTGAAATCACTTCAGGCAAGTTTAGTATTCTTCTTTGACAGGATTGCAAGTTTAAGAGATAGACGATGAGGATGTCGCCCTGCTTCCTCTGCTTCTTTCCCTTCTTTTCATCATCCTCATCCTCAACAATTGCCTAAGGGGCAACAATGTGCCATATGCAAAGGGTAACCCCTACCTCCCAGTGGCCTATAACTTTAGCCTAAGGATTAAAGCAAACAAGTGATTTCATTACAATAACATAGATGTCCTCATCGATGTCACTGAGGTTGTGTATGTGTCCAAGGAAGACCTCAGTGACTCCACCGGATGGAAACAAAGATGAATATGCCACAAAGATTAACAATACCATGTAACTGCAGAAGTCAGATAGGAGAAATGAGGGGTTCAAAAATGGTTCTTCCAGCCAATTTAAGCCATTTAAGATGTTTTTCCACAATCTCCATGACAGATCCCACAGGATATCCAGTGACATGGCAGCAAATGATGTCCACAGCTCTTTCAAAGAAGGAGCTGGCTTCTGCTGCTTCTTAGTGGATGACTACCTGGGGTAAACACAGAGAAAGGGCCTAGTGCGTACTTAGTTAATACATAATTGCACGTTCAAAGCGTGATGAAGAGAGAATTAGTGTGCAAAGCAACCCTGTTAAACTGAAAGCAGCCACTGAGGGTGAGTGAAGACTGGGACAAGGCTTTTTTCTTTAATATTCAAAGAATCTAGGTTCAGATTTTCATGCAGCTGCCTAATAAGCTCAGTGGCCTTCAGCAGAGTCCCTAGCCTCTAACACTCAACTATCCAGCAAAAGATGAGGACAAGTGTAATAAGTCCCTGGGCCTTGAGTCATGATGTGGGATGGATTGACTGATGTATATGAATGTTCTCACTAGAGCACAACTCAATGTAAGGTAACCAAAAATCATTAATTTCTTATCCTTCTTATATATGTGAGGCAAGAAGAGGTTTTCAAACTAAAGAACTCTGAAGGGTCTCCTCATCAATTTCTCTTGGAGACATTCTAAACTTAAAGTTTACATGAAAGGCACTTTACAGCCTTCACCATCAAATGGTTTCATTCTTCTGAAATGCAAAGCAAAAGAAAGTGACCTGAGTATCTACATAAACTATTCATCTATCTATGGCAGTGATTCTCAACATGTGGTTCATGACCCCCTTGGGGGTCAAACAACCCATGCCCAGGAGTTGAGTATCAGATATTTACATTACAATTCATAACAGTAGCAAAATTACAATTATGAAGTAGTAATGAAATAATGTTGTGGTTGGGGTTGCCACAACATGAGGAAGTGTATTAAAGGATCACAGCATTAGGAAGGTTGAGAACCACTGACCTACAGTATCTAGCATAAACACCCATTCATTGCTTAACACTTATTACATATGCATACATATATAAACACCACAGATTATATTCCAGACCAATGAAGATTTTGTCCACTTTATTTTTAGTTATCATCAACTTGTATTATTGTATATATTAATGGGTTTCACTGTGACATTTACAACCATGCATATATCCACCCCCACTTCCTTTCTTTACTAATAAAAGGCTTCTAGTATCAAATCATCTGTTTCTTCCTTGCTTTTTGTTTTATCAGTTCCCACATAGAAGAAAATACATGATACTTATTATTTCTGTGTGGTTAGATTCACTTAACAGCAACTTCCAATGTCAATAAAGCCTTTGACTGAGTCTCTGATTGAAGTGGGTTAGTGGATAACGATCTAAACATCTCCAGGACTAAAAATTCACCACTAAACAGAAAAACCTAAGTCTTTGGAAAGATTAAACGTTTTTTGCTGATAAAGGAAAGTGAAGGAGTTTTGAGGGAATACGGAACGATTTCAGCCTGAGGCGTGTGACAGTGACATCAGTCTATGGTTTCTCTGAAATATCCAACGAGAAGGGACAGGACACAGATGATGATCTCCACAACATCAGTGTGGAAACCATGGACACACAGGCAGAAATTCAAAAGCATATGAGATCAAGGAAATAGGAGTGTGTTGTTAAGAGAGTCATACCAAGGGCAGAGTGCTGGAAACCAATGAAGATTCACCCAAGGGAGACCCGACAGAGGGTCCGATGTGCAAAAGCACTTGTCATGGAAGCCTGACAGTCTGATGTGATCCCCTCTCTCATAGTGCAGAGAACATTCCCAAAGGTTGTCTTCTGACCTCCATGTATATAATAATAGCCTGCCTCTCTCTCTCTCTCTCTCTCTCTCTCTCTCTCTCTCTCTCTCTCTCCCCGTGTGTGTGTGTGTGTGTGTGTGTGTGTATGTGTGTGTGTGTGTGGTGTGTATCTGTCTCTCACTCTGTTTCTTTCTCCCTCCCTCTCTTTCCCCCACCTCTGTGTGTGTGTGTTTGTCTGTCTGTCTGTCTTCCACTCTCTGTCTCTTTCTCCCTCCCTCCTCCTTCCCCCCCCTCTCTCATGCATACACACACACCAGAATTTTGTTAAGGCTAAGGAAAAATGAGACTCCGAACTAAAAAAGTGATCATAGAAATAGAGATCTACAAATACTGTTTTATAAGGGAGATGAGCTGTAGAGGATAGTCACCTAGATCAAATGTCAGAGTCCAGATAAAATTAAAGCTAATACACTTAACTGGATGAAGAACTTAATTTATCCATAAGGAAGCTCAAATAAAAGTAATTTAATAAAGGGTCTGACGTTTGCTCTCAAAATCATATTCTCCTGGACATAATATCAGCCTTCCTTCTAAATTCTTACCTTTATATGTATAGATTAGTGCAACTCGGCCCTTATCAGATAAGCTATTTCTTGTAATGCACACACAGTGGTTAAGTACAGAAACTCACAACTGATCAACATTCAGAAAACACACAGCTGTAGCATGCTCGGCCCTAAATGGACATCTCCAACAACACCAACAGCAACCCAAGGTTTAGAGACCATCACTGAAGTGTGGTGGTATTTTGTTCCCCAAAATATTGTGTACTCTAATAAATTTATCTGGGGTCAGAGAACAGACAGCCACTAGATACAAAGGCTAGAAAATGGTGGCACTCACACCTTTAATCCTAGCATTCCAGAGATAAAAATCCCTCTGGATCTCTGAGTTCAAGGCCACATTGGAAATAGCCAAGCATGGTGACACGCCTTTAATCCCAGAAAGCTAGGCTTTAATCCCAGGGAGTGGTGGTAGAAAGCAGAAAGATATATAAGGCGTGAGGACCAGAAACTAGAAGCTTTTGGCTGGTTAAGCTTTTGGCTGGTTAAGTATTTGGCCTGGTTAAGCTTTCAGGCTATGGAGCAACACAGTTCAGCTGAGATTCATTCTGGATGAGGACACAGAAGCTTCCAGTCTGAGGAAACAGGACCAGCTGAGGAACTGGTGAGGTGAGATAGCTGTGGCTATGTCTATCTCTCTGACCTTCCAGTATTCACCCCAATAACTGGCCTTGGGTTTGATTTTATTAATAAGAATTTTTAAGATTCCTGCTACACTGAAGTGTTAGCGGAAAGATTATAAGAGCTCCAGGCCACTGAACTGTTGTGAATCAGTGTCTTCTCATCACGGTGGGGCACTATACTCATGAACTCAAAGCAGCTATGATACCTGTATAAGACTGGCACAAGACCCAGCCAATCAGCATTCTAGCATAGAAGGGGGCGGGGCCCATGAGGAGCTGTTGACAGTTGCTGGCTTCTAGGTAGGGCCGGTCAGTTTTCTTCAAAGGTATGGACACCGGTAAGTTGGCATTGGTCCTGTGGGTGGCGCTCACCCATGTGTGTATTGACAGCACAGAGTAGGTTGACTTAGTGTCAGCTGATTTTGAAAAGAGGAAACGAAGTTTGCAGGGAGGTGTATTTAGAGGCGGTTCATAAGGAGTTGGAGGAGTAGTGGGTGTTGGATGTAATCAAAAAATATGTGGTGTACATCTATGAAATTCTGAAAGAACAAACAAAATACTAAATTAAAATAAAAAAAGCTCTCTTGGGAGCTGTCCAGCTGAGTATCTATGAGCAGTCTGGGGCAGAAGTTTGCCATTTCCTGAAACTCGTAAATTGGACAGTTCTAGTAACTGTCCAGTCTTCCTGATTTTGTTTTAAAAAAAAATATTTTTTATTATAATATAAAAACAACATGTCTCCCTTTCCTTTCCTCCCTCCAACCCTTCCCATATTCCCCTCCTGACTTCCCTTCAAATTCATGGCTTTTTCATTAGTGATCATTGCGTGCATTTGGTATTCCTAAATATAACCTGTTCAGTTTGTATAATGTCACTTGTAGGTATGTTTTGGGGGGCCGGCCATTTGATACTGCATACCCAGTTGGTGTGCTCTTCCCTGGGGAAGACCACCTCTCTTGCTCCCAGCTTCACTCAGTTACCTACCTACAGTCCCTTTTGTGAGGTCAACCCTGCTGAAGGCCTCGTGAGCTTTTTCCGCTCCGTCCTGTCCACTGGTGCCATCCCTGTTCAGCTCACATTTGGGCAGCCATGTTGCTGCGAGTTTATGGGTGGAGCTTCTGGTATGACGAGGAGACACATCTCACAGCAAACTCCCTGATCCTCTGGCTCTTACAGTCTTTCTTCTCCCTCTTCTGCAATGCTCCCTGAGCCTTAGCTGTGGGAGTGTTTTGTAAATACGTCTATTGGGACCAGGCTCCACCCAGCCATGATGCCTATGAACCACCAAGAACATCATGGCACAATAACCCTAAGGGAGCGGTGGTGGTGCACACGCCTCGGCTGTAACCAACACGCTCTGTCATTGGACTTGAGACCCACTTAACTAAAGAGGGAAAGCATGAGTGGTGATAGAAACTCCACTGAATATCCGGTGCTAGTGAAGTCACGGTCATTGGAGAGAACCTATTATTTTTTAAGTTATGTATCTGTGTGTGTGTGCTTGCATCAAGTATGTCCAGATGGGTGCAGGGGGCTGCAGAAGCCAGAGGATCAGATCCCCTGGAGCTGCAGCTACCAACAGCTGTGAGCCACCAGGCAAAGGAGCTGGGAAAGGACCCTTTCCTGTCCTCTGGAAGAGTAGCAAGTTCTCTTTACTGCTGAGTCACCTCTCCAGCCCCTGCTTTCTCATTTTTAATTAAGATCTTTCCCTTTTTGTATCTATCCATTGGTACAACACAGACTTCCAAATACTGGAAGATAACGTTCAGCACTTAACCTAACTTGTATATTCACATGTACTATGCACATATGCATATACACGCACGGATGCATATATTTTAGTTGACTCGTTTCTCTACTTTAATAGGTGCTCCAAGAGATTAGGATTCTTGACTTTACTTACTAAGGGTCCACAGCACATAGCATAGTGCCCAAGACACTACACTGTTCAACAAACAATTATGGGATTAATAGTAAATAATATTAATATATTGATAAGCAAGCTATAAACATGAGAATAAATTATTGAATGAATAACATAGGTGTGTATATGTATTACACACATACAAAAATACTCAGAGGAAAAGAGGCCATCAACTTGGGGGAGGGAGATATGGAAGGGATTGAAAAGAGGGTACTTGGGAGGGGCTAGCAGGAAGAAAGTGATGTAATTGTATTTTAATTAATAGTAATTTTTAAGGGCTGGAGAGATGGCTTACCAGTTAAGAGCACATACTGCTCTTCCAGAGGACCCCGGTTCTAGTCTCAGCACTCATATCTGGTGCTGAGACTCAAACCACCTGTAACTCTGGCTCCAAAAGATTGAGCACCTCTGGCCTCCACACACACACACACACACACACACACACACACACACACACACACACACACAGGGGAAATGCCTGTAACTGCAAGCCTAAGGACATGATTTGGCACACAGCCATGTCAATAGCCAGGCACAGCAGCCGATCCTTGAGATCCCAACGGTGACAAAGTAGGGACAGGAGAGTCCCTTGACTTCCTTGGCCAGCTGGCCTAGCCAGATGGGTGAGCTCCAGGTTCCGTGCGTGGCTTTGTCTCGGAAGATAAGGAGAGCCACTGAGGGAGACATCTGACGTTGGCCCCTACCCTCTGAGCCAACCTGCACGTACATGCGCACACACAAAGAGAAACAAATACATCAATAAATACATCAAGTTGAGATTCCATATATATATGTATATATATATTCCATATATATATTCCATATATATTCACCTTTTCAAAATTCAGTTCTTCAGACAGAGTAAGGAAGAAAATACAATGTAGCTATAAATCACCACTTCTCCTTTGATGTTGTCATCATATTAAAAACATCCATAACCCTCGAGAAGAGAAGCCTATTTATTCATATCACCACACAAAGTCTGCCGCCTGCATTATCATACAATGACAAAAAAAAATCCATCCACAGATGTATTTTCTTCACCACTTGCTAAACATAAAACTAATTTTTAAAAATAGACTTACTCAGAAAGAGATTGTCTGAATTCGTCCAATATAATTAATGTTTTTATGAGCCTTTGTCATTAATCAGAAAATTAGAAGATTGCATTGTTCAATACTCACCAAGCATTTAGCATCCAATTAGTCTTATATTGATGTTCTACAAAGGCAACCAAGTGTGTGCTGAAACCAGGGCTGCCACATAAGCTCTACCCACCTTGCTCCCAAGAAACCTATTTCTTACAGACCAGAGGGCCCAAGAGAGATTTCTGTAAGATAAATGCCATAGAACATTGTAGCCTGAACTCAAATTCCAGGGGAAAAAATGCACTCGTTCACATTTGTTTACAAGTTGTGCTTTCTTTTTTCCAATTCAATGTAATAAATATTTGAGCTTATAATGTGAGTTCTTCAAATTTTCTTAAAACATTAATTCTTTATCTCACTACTTAAGAGATTATCGCTTTTCACCAAATAGAATGGAAAAAAATCATAGAATGCTATTATGAGAAAGCTGAGATTCATTCAAAGGCTGTTATGGATATTATAGTGTGATTATAATGATACAGTTCTGAACTGGGCAGGGGAGGTCCTAGTTGGAATTTTCAGATATAAATACTTTGAACCAAGACAGATCTCTAATCAGCATCAAGTTAAGCAAAAAAATAAAAGTAACACACACACACCCCCCATGAGCATGATCGAGATGCAGTATTTATGGTTAAAACTCTGCTCCAGGGACTAGAGAGATGGCTCAGGCCTGCTCTTGCAGAGGATGGGGTTGTTTCCCAGCATCCACATGGCTGCTCATAACCCACCTTAGCTCCAGTTCCAGGAGATCTGATGCCCTCTTCTGGCCTCCCCTGGGAACTTCATGCACATGGTGCTTACACATTAACGCAGGCAAAATACTCATACACATAAAATAGTAAATAAATAAATCTTTAAAGTAAGACTCTGTTCCAAAAGGAAAGTTAAAAGCTGTGCGGGCCTGCTCAAGCCATTTGTGTAGAGGAAAGTTATTTGGGGCTAAAGTAGCACCTTCCTCTGTAATTACTGTGTGGGCCAAAAGAGACAGTTAAGGACAACTATTTACCATGGTGCTTGTCACGGTGTTCACGTTCAGGTTTAAATTTTCAAATGTCTATAGATCTCCATAGAAAGCAAAGACTACAGGGAAGATCTTTCTCTCTCCCACAGCACTTCTGTCCAAGACAGTTAGGCAGATGCATGGCCTCTGAGCGCAGGATGCTCCTGAGCTAACAGGGAGAAAAACAAAAGCATAAAACTCAGGGATTCACCCTATTTTCTTCCCTGGCTCCCTTCCTGCTGTTATCATCAGCCTTTCAGGAAGCAGCTCTTGGCCACAAACAAGAACCCCATAGACTGTGAGACTAGATTACGTCAAACTGGACCAAAAAGAAAAAAAAAAAATCAAGAAGAGAAAATTGGGGAAAAAAAAAAAACCATAACTCTTCCTAAAGGCATTGAGAACAATGGGGTTCTTTTATCCATGTTATTGTTCCTCGGGGCTCTCTTGGTATTTTCACACACTAGTGTACAGATTGCAGCTGGAACCTTCTACACCAATCCCGATCCTGTGCTCTGAGCCGCATCCCAGTCTCCACCGCTCACTTCCATTGCCTCTCAGCCATCCCCAAGACACAAAGCTCCAGCTCCAGCTCAGACTCCAGATGCTTAAAGTGTTTGGCAATTATCTTCATCTAGGGAGAATACAACAGCTTGGGGGAGCCGTTACGTTCCAACCACTCGTTGCGTAAGCCAAGACTCAGTGGTGGCTCCTTACTCTCTTCACAGATTGGCTGTGATCAGAACTCTCTCTTACTTCCAAATTCTTTTCTTCCCTTTTTGTCCCCCCACATCCTTCTTTTTTAAGTTCTCCCCACTTGTCACCCAAGTCAATGAAATAGCTCTCCAGGTAATCCCCCTGCAGTGCCCCCACCGCCCAACGCAGTCCATTCTCTATACTAGCACCAAAAGTACCTTTCCAAAGTGCTACCACCAGAGGATGAGCCTAGAAAGGGACGGGAGGCACCTAGGGTCTGATGGCAGTGTTAAGGTCACTTAGCTACGGGACAGTTTTATCAAGAGTGGCTCAATGTGTAAACTAGGCAGGTAAAGAGCTCTGACATGACAATAAGAGATATTGTGAAGAACTGTGGGGTGTCTGCATTTATTTTATCCTACTTGCAAACTGACAAACAAATCTACTATATTTCATAAACACTGTGTGGCCAGACACACAGACCAAGACTCTTTGCTCAGGGACAAAGGGCACTGTTATTCGCCGGTCGCCTTTGACTCACTCCTGTCTGAAAGTCGCGCAGCTAAGATGTTTCACTTGTTCGAGGGTGTCATAACTGAGGACTAAAGAACTCGGGGAACTGGAGTCATTAAAATGGACGACAAGCAGATCTTCATTAGCCGTAGAAGAAAAGGGTTTTTTTTTTTT